GTATTGTCAGCACCCAGCTGTTATCAATGTAATGCCCTGTTACGGTGATGTAACTTTCTGTCGCGATGCTCGTCCATATATCCGTGGTTAACGATATAAACACTGCTTCTTCACTTAGCCTTTCTTTCAGACGTTGTTTGCACGTTGCATGTTTAAGGTTGATATCAGCGGTAAAATGTTTTCTGCTTGGTAAGACATATCCCGGCTCCAAGTACTTCATTAAGTTAGAAAACCATCACATTCAACAGTTCGAATGGGGCGTTAGTCTTGAACGATCATTTGAGTCATTCTGTCTGTTATATTCTTTACACATGTATCATTGCACTTCGCAGGCCTTACAAATCCATCAAGGGTAGGCATCTTCCTGCTCTCCGTTGTGGTTGTCTTGATATCCGGACAGTAAAGAGTCGAGTGCTTCGACGCGAGGTGATTCCGTAGGTTTGTTGTACCACTTAAATAAGCAAATTCTTTTTTACAAATAGTGCACATGGCTTTCCTATGGTCGTGAAGTTTCTTATAAAAACTCCATACGTCCAAAAACTTTTTTACAACTACTTCCAACTGCGCCCTTATCTGACGCCAGTTTTTCTAATAAAAAATTGTATGCATAGCGCATGCGTATAAATAAACGTGTGAACATTCGAACGGGCACTGGCAGATCTGAAGCTTTGGGAATATTCGAATACTTCGTCTCAGCCCTAATGGCTATAATGCACAAATAATTGTCTTTTGTGAAAGTTGCACTAGAACATTCTTGACTTTTTGATATTTGTTTTAAGCATTTACAATTAATCCCTTAGAATGTACATGTATTCTCAGCTTTCACCACATGATGGAAAATAATTTATCTTTTCAATTTTAGGTTTAATAACTTTTTTTTTTTTTAGATTATGCAAGTTAGTTACAAAAAATGCTTAACAAACTGACTCATTGACTTATCAATACTTGTCTGTGTTTTTGATTGTTACAGGAATGTGATTTTTGTACTGAAGCATATATCTTAATAATAAAAAGTAAAGAATTAAAGTAGGCAGTAACTATTTTTATTGGAAGTTAATTAGTAAGTACTCTAGGTTACGTTGTGCAGCTTCTAATAGTAATACTGTTTTTTATTGATCAGAAGCAAACAAAATACATTCCATTAATTCTTATTATTGCTGTGATTTAAAAAAAAATTATTAATGACATTTTGTTTCTTTCTAGAGAGAAAAGGAAGGAAAAAGAACGTGATGAATTATGGAAGAAACTGTCTCAGCTGGAACTGAATAATAAAGCAAAGCTGATGAATTCTGGGTCACTCAACCAGAACAATACTAATGTTGCACACACTCAACGACAACTAAACAAATCAGGCCAAAATTAACCAAGTATACCACTTTGTTTGTGTCATTTTGTCACAGCTAGGCTTAGAGCCATTTTGAATTAATTCAGAACTGCATGTTCAGGAATGAGCAGTTTGCCCTTACTTAGCATTGGGTGTCCAAAATGATGCCCAGTGCTAATAAGTGTGAAGAACTGGTCATAAAAAAAAATTGGGATGTGCATCTTTAATCAGCTGTTCCAACTGGCTTAAGTTGTCTAAAAACCTCAGACAGCTGGTAATTTAGCCTTCATGGGGAAAAAAAAAATTAAAAAATCATCGTAGTAGACTCTAGGTCATTCTAATCAGGGCAGAATTGTATTGATATGAAAACTTATCTTATTAACTAAGATTATGCATCTATGTATTATCAGCCTCATTGTGTTATGTGTTGTCTAGTAGGTTATATTCTCCTAGATCATTTTAGGTACTTTTCAATCAAACACAAATTGTATGATTTTGAAAATGTAGAAACAGTCAAAGGTAGCTTGAATGTTTACTGCTGTGACTACACAAAAGCTAGGGTTTACATTTTACTTTTTTTATTATTATTAGCAAGAAACATTGTAATGTAGACATACTCCACACTGAGAAAATTGATTACTCCTAGTGTGTATGTTGTTATAGTATCATTTTGTCTTGTTAGAAAACTTTGCACAGTGTGAGGGGTGCATGGCAGTTTCAGGACATCAGTAGAAACGTGATTTTGGTTCAGTGGTACACCTACTGTATATTGTCAACTTTGGGGTTGTTAGAATTAATGTAAAATGGACAGACATTTCAGACCCTTCATGTACAGACTGTTTGGTTTTCATATCACACTAAAAACTGCCTGTTTTTGTCCATTCTTTTCAAACACGTTGAGTGTTTTTTCATTATCTAAGGTTTTTTTCTTTCTTTTTGTTTTGCTCAACTCTTGTTATATGTAATTTTGTAATGAATAATATGAATAACTGAACTGTATTCTCTTTGGACAGAATGTAATTGTAGTAATTTATTTTGATTTTAACTGATTAGTAGTCTGCTCTATTTCTAACCTCATATGCTAAAGAGAGAGAGAGCCTCCTAGTACCAGAAAAATAAATAGTAAAAAATCTTGTGACTGCTACTTTAATTGTTGTTCACATGCATAAAGTGCTGCTGTGTAAATAAAATTGGAGATCCCAACCAACCAATTGTTTTTTTTTTTTTTTTTTTAATTAAAAGATGTATATTGGTTTTCTTTAGAAAAAATAGCATTATAATCAACCAAAGATAAGAAAAACCAAAAACACTAGAAATCTATTCACCAGCTTCACAAAATTCAAGGGAATATTTTGTTGTTTTTGTTTAACTGTAGGTATCATTGGCATCTTCTACCCTATATAATAGTCAGTTTGTGTTACTGAATTATAAATGTTGACTCCCTGCATTAGATGATGTATCACCAGAAAGGTATTGTAGTCATCGCATGTTTTATATATCCATCCTTTTGATGATTTTGTGTCTTCAGGACAGTTCAACAGCAGTATGTGTCCTGAGAACTTTCATGTGGAACTTGTATGGGGATGAATTCACCATTATCATTTGTTGCTATTAGGTAGTTATTATATTTTTGACGAAATTAGGGGAAATAATATTAAAAGTTGTTCTTTCTTTAATGTTCAAGTTGAAGCTAGAAAAACTCAGGCTTCTTTTTTTGTGTTCGTAAATGTGTTTCACACTTGGTTAATGCTTACTACCTAATACAGAATTCTTCTTCATTTATAAGTTGTTTGTTTTGCTTCAGTGTAAGACATATCAATGTAATGATGTTCTAGAACTTGGGGTTTACACTTCTTAAATCAGCTAGTATCATTAGGCACTTCAGTTTTGATGTCTGAACACTGATATGACCCATCTACTTTATTCACATTTAAGAATTATGCTGAATAAACCCTGGGGAATCCCATTTTCTGTGTTTAGACTCAAGAGTTACAATGTCTGAACTCTGAAACAACCAACTGGTGTGTCCAGACATTGGTTATCATGTCTGTAGTCTAATAAAACATAACTTTTGTGTCCAGTTACAAGAATTTTATGATCTCTGAGCTCTAAAACAGCTCCTATGGTGTGTACAGATGCTTGACAATTAAAATGTCTGAACCTCTGAAATAATTAGCTGGTGTGTCCAAGCATTAGAATTATGATGTTTGGACTTTGATACAAGTCAGCTTGAATGTATAAACACTAAAGTTACGATGTCTGAAATCTAATGCAATCTGTACTACATGGATACACTTTAGTAGAATGATGTCTGAACTTTGAAACAACCTAAGTGGTATGTACAGAAATGCTATAATTATGTATTAGCTGTTATAACACCTAGATGGTGTATCGAGACATTAGAGTTATAATGAGTAAACCTTCAGGGGGGCAAGTTATAAATGTACTTCAGTAGCCATAATCAAGAATAATTGTCTCTGAATGGTAAGTTTTATGACAGTCTAGTTTGTGTTCATCCTAAGTTATCTAAACCTAAAGTCCAAGATACATTCAGTGACCTAAAAGTTATGATGTCTTAATTTCTGAAACAAATATAGCTGAACTTATTAGAATCTTAAAAGTAATGGTGTCTATCATGATGCAAAATCTTGTAACTAATTTTAGGCCCCATTATATTATTTTTGTTTGATATGTGTTGATGCTAAATCATAATACAATAATACACCTTTCCTAAGACCATATTGTATTGTGTTTATTCTAACCTCCTTCATAAAATACCCAGCTGCTAATGCTAAACCTTAGTGTAATATATCTTCTGTAAGACCATGTCCTGTTTCTTCCCTTTCTGTGGAATAAATGCAGTTGCTAATGATATACCTTAATGTGATGTATCTTTCCCCCATACCATATAAACTTATCTACTTTTTCTTGAAATAAATGTTATCGTTAATGTGATATATCTTTTCCCATTCCTAACAAGATTTTATCTACCCTTCCCTGAAACAAATGTAACTGCTAATGATATACCTTAATGTGATATATCTTTCCTGAGACCAGATTCTCTTCTGTGTCTACCCTAATCCCTCTCCTTGAAACAATTCCAGATCCTGAATGTGATGATATCCCTTCCATCAAACTAAATTGGATTTTGTGTCCACTCTGAGGCATATGGTTCTGTTGCTATAATTAAACATTGTTATTAAGATACTCTGTATTCAAAATGTTTGCTGCTATAACCAAACCTTAATGCTGCAATGTCCAAACTTTCAGGCAAATTTAAACCATCTGTTGTTAAGTTTTAAATTTTATGTCTATATTTCCAGGTGCATTCAGCTTTTGCATCAAATTCTATTCTTATAGTCAGTCTTTAAATGTAATAATTTGTCCAAACCCAGTTGTTATAGTCTAGTTTTAATGCTGAAACATAATTGCTACAGTTAGATTTTAATGGTAAGATTCCAAAACTGTTGTCAGTTATGCTTCAAAATTAGGACCTTGAATCTCCCAAGCACATTCAGTTTCTATTTTCCAACATAGGTGTTTTCAGGCTTCCCTGTTAGGATAGAAACAAAGACCCCTAGGTATAATTCATTTGATCAAATCTAAGACCCAGCACCTGTGACCAGGCTGTGAGTATAGACTATCTAAAAGTAATTTCATAAAATAAGTTAAAATAATTTTGGATAGATTTACTTGTTCTTTCCCCTAAATTTAATGTAAAATGTTTTTTCTCCAAGGTTTACATAACAATTATAATTCCACAGATCAATAAAATGACTGTTTAAAATATACCTATACCAGTAGCTGAATAATTTTTTCCCCCCCATTGTGGGTGCTTTTTTTTTTTTCAGCATAAAGGTTAGAGAAAAAATTGATAATGACACTTAGTAATATCTAATCATTTAAAGATTGAAGTTGATATAATCTATGTAGTAATAGTATTGCTTTTACTATCAGAATGAACAATGTTATTCACGGTAATAGGAGCAACATTCTTTTAGGAAAAGTATCTATAACTGTGAGTGTTGACGGGATCAAATAATGAACTTAATAAATGATTTGCATAGTCCTAGCGGTTGTTTGTAAGGTGTGTCATTGTAACAAAGATTTCTGTAGTATTGACAGGTCTGGTGAAATCATTTAGTCAGTATAAATGTTGAAACCTTAAGCAGCCACTGAACATGTACCGTTAAATGACAAATAACCAGAACTTGGCTAGTATATTGAGTTGTGTTCATGCACATTTTAAAATATTGACACTAAAACTATAAATAGGTACTAATGATAGAATTTGATATTGTTTCTGCATGAATTATGCTATTACATGTAGTTAAATGTTTTCTTTTATGTTAGAAGAGAGAAAATTCTTCTTCCCTCCTTTTTATTATTTGTAAAAGTGTTCAGTAAACCATTACGTTTACAACCAGACTTATGAGCGAGATAATAATTTACATAGTAACAGTGGAGCAGTAATTCTATTCTGATTAATACAACTGACTTGCAGGTTAACATTGGTGCAATTTTCAGTTTAACCATCTGCATTTAACTTTTTTCCACTTTCGATTTAACCGTGTTTATTCCACTTAATACTACTGCAAGTTTAACCACCTTGATTCATATTATTTCTGCTTCCAGTTTAACCACCTTGACTACACTTGGCACTGTCTTCCATTTTAACCACCTTGGCTACACTTGGCACTACTTCCATTTTAACCACCTTAACTACACTTGGCACTGCTTCCAGTTTAACCACCTTGACTACACTTGGCACTGCTTCCAGTTTAACCACCTTGACTACACTTGGCACTGCTTCCAGTTTAACCACCTTGACTACACTTGGCACTGCTTCCAGTTTAACCACCTTGACTACACTTAGCACTACCTCCAGTTTAACCACCTTGACTACACTTGGCACTGCTTCCCGTTTAGCCACCTTGACTACACTTGGCACTGCTTCCCTTTTAACCACCTTAACGATACTGGACAAGAATTACATGAACTACCATACGTACAGAGAATGCATTGCCTAAGAACAATTTCATGAGTCACCAGATGTGTTGACAAAGAAGATTCACACACACATAACGTTAGGTGTAAAGAGCATGTTAACCGAGAAGAATTACTTAAATGTACAGAGAATGTTACTCACAAGTTATTATATGCTTCTTCACTTATGTTTGGCAGAAAGAATTAGTGTCATCAGATATACCTAAAATAACTTGTCAAAGAGAAATGATATTTACCATTGGTTCTAAGAGTATGTGTTGGGCAAGCATAGTCACGTGGTTTGTACCAGAAAATTGGTTGAACAGAAGAATTATGTGCACCATCAGAGAATGTGTTTACATAAAAAATTGATTGTATTACAGGATGTACGGAAGTGTTGTTTGAGAATACATGTACATCCAGGGTAGAATAATAGTGTACCAACAGATATATTGATTTTATCTTGACTATGATGATTTACACGTACGAACATATATGTAGATGATATGTTGACTAATAACTATTTATGCATTCAGATATGTTCATTAATAAAAAATAAAAAAAACATTTGTCATGAAATATTCACAAGAGATAAAGAATTACAACCACCATCAGTTGTATCGAAGCTGCGTTGAACAATAACTATATGTAAAGGTGTATTGTTCAGGAGGACACGTTTACCACCACTTTTTTGCTATCGTAGTTGGAGTAACAACATTGTATGGACATCCTTTTGACTACACTGGCGATTAGAAACGTTTAAAATCAAAATATCTCATGTTTAATCCTTTAAAATAACAGTTAAGCTCTTAATTACAGCCTTGATATTGAAACATTCCTCTAGGCTAGAAAAGTCTGTTAACTCCTACATTAGTGATCTGATTACCTTGTGCACAGTATGAAGATGGAAGTGAATACAAGTAACGTAATTTCACTAATACCGATACGAATACATAAAATTTGTAAATAATATATAAACGTAAACTTCATTTGAATATGAAAATGAAATTGGAATTTTTTAAAGTTTTCAAAGATTTGGATGTCAAACATCCATGTCTGTTTATACTGATAAAAATAAGTTCTGATTTTTGTAGTTTTACTATGAAATTGATATTACATTTTAAATTAAATGGTCATAATAAAAAACTGTAAGCATTAAAATTAAGTGTATTTCAAAGATACTTAATGTTTAATTCTGCCTAAAATTTAGTCAAATTATGTTAATGTCGGAGGTATAAAAAGTGATCTCTTGACATAGCTACTTTTGGAATCTAAAATTGCATTGGAGTTATTAAGAGGAGAGAAAAGAATAAATGCGTTATAAACTATTGGGTCTGTAATCTCCATGGAGATTACAACGTGGGTCACTAATCGTCTGCGCTAAGTAAAGTGACTTCAGAATTTAAACTACGTAAGAATATTAAGAAGATTTGATTTAAAAAAAATAAACATATGGGGAATTGCAATATTCTAATGGTTCTCATGCGAAATGGCTAAAAAAGCCATCTCCCAGTGGTTCAGCGATGAGGCTAAAAATAGAGTTTCTGTACCCGTCATGGGCATATCACTGATAACCCGTTGTGCTTAACAACAAAGTACGCTGAACAGTTGGGATTTGATGGAGGTAAAAATGAATGCATTACATTATATTCTTCAATTCACCACAAAATTTGGGTTCCACTTTTAACACCTACCACACGATCCAGCCCAGTATATTTTATTTCTGAGCATAGAGAATTCATTCCGGAAACCGGTGATATAGAAAGAAGCTGACACAACTTCGAAAACGAAAAAGCAACTAAATATTAATGAAAATATAACGATGAAATTTATATGGAATGGTGATCTCGTAATGAGCATTATAACATCCTTTTATTTACTAATCATTGCAGAAATGGGATATTTAATTTGAGAATCTCTAGAGAAGTCATTTTGTAATGCATCTGCTTCAATTTCATCACTGAATATTTGAGCTTTTATTGTATTGTTAGTTTCATAAAATATTGTAACTAATGGTCTGTTATATATATGATTCCAACCCACCTCATTTTTTTTAAAGATAACGATACTCTTGTGCTCGTTTTTTATGTTTCGGTGCAGTAATCATTTGAATCTGCGATTAGTTATCTTAGAATAATTTCTTCCCTCATCCGACCTGTTTCATTGCTACATCGTTTTACTTTACATTTACAAGTTAACTTTTCCATGTTGGCTCTCATGGTCTTTGGTCTGGTCCAGCGACCTAGTCCTTAAAAATAATGTCAAACGCCTTCTTTTCGTCTTATCAAAATAACCCAAACCTTTCCGAACTGGCTCGTGTAGCGAATGTTAAAGATGTAGACAGTTATTAAATGGTCATAATAAGAAATGCAAGTATAAAATTAAACTTATTTCAAACATACTTCTGCTAAAAATCGTTGTATTAGACTAGGTCATTCAAATCAGAACAGAAATGTATTAATATGGAACTTACAAACTAAGGTTATGCATCTGTGTCTCTTGTTATTTGTTGTGTCTAATAAGTTACATTCTTATAGGGTATTTTAGGTACTTTTCAATCAAACGCAAATTATTTGATTTTGAGAAATGAAGAAAGAGTCAAAGGTAGCTTAAATGTTTACTGCTGTGACTGCACAAAAGCTAGGGTCTGCCTATTGCTTTTTAATTATTAGGAATTGAAATTACACAATTTCGTGGTGCTATGAAAATGGCCAGTAATATGCGACTGTGTGATATTGCACTACGAATTTTGTCCGACTGAATAGAGTTGTATAGACAATTCTGTCATCCTTTGCAAATTCCAGTATCTTTGTCTCTCAGAGTTCCAGCAACCACAGTAGCTGGTCGATAGTAGTTTGAAATCTCATTGTCAGTGCATAATAAATGAATTCTGTTAATACTAGTGTTTGGGTCCATGTTATTATTTGTAAACCTCTTTTTGAATAATGTGTTTACTATAGACCTTCATACTCGTCTATTGAACATAGTGACAATGAACACTACAGACCATTTT